ATTACTTTTAAATTTTAAATCAAATCTTTTTTTTGTGTGGAATATATTTGTGAGTTAGGTACTTACTTCAAAATCAAATTTAACTTTAATTACATTAGAATGTATGCACAGGTGTACTATAAGCAAACAGCTGAAGTATAACTAGGTAGGAGTGTATAAAGAAAACGATGCACTTTGTTTGTAGTATAGATAGTATAATATTTATTTTTAATATTTAATCTTATAAGTTATAATTGATTGAAATATCCATTCTTATAGTATTGTATCTAGTGTGATGTATACTTTACAAACTAATTTGGAATTTTATTGGAGAAAACAACAACCTGTTTACTTGTACATTGTATTTAATTATTATTATTATGGTAAACCTGGATAAATATTAATAATATGTAATTTTGTATTAACTATTCTCTATCAAACAAAAATTATAGGTAGCCATTTTATTAAATATTATATAGGTAAATATAATTAATGTTGAATTTAAATAATAACAATTATACATAATTTATTGCCTAGTATCTATCTAGAAAATATTATATTGTTTAAACCAAATATTATATAGGCAACTAAAATTAATTGTACTTATGTCTATGATTTATGAATCTATTAAGATTAATTTCCTGTATAATTATGATAATTAATACATTGCTTGAATATTAAATAAAATGATTAAAGATTTAACCAAATCTTAATTGATTCAATTTTAATAACTGTTGCTTAGTAAGTAACAAATAAATTAAATTAGGTATCTACTGTTTTATTTTTTTAATAATTAGTTATAATCAACTATTTAACATTTAACTAAACATATAATGTCAGTTTTATTTCTATTATATTTAAAATTTAAATAATTACTATTATGTGTATGCTTTTCAAAACAATCAATAAGGTCAAACACTGGATTGTGAAAAAAGAAGACCTACAAAACTCTTGCCATTTGAAAGGGTATCCCATATTAACAGTTGACTTGTGTAAGAGTGTAAGACCATACTTAAAGTTCCTAGACTGATAAAAAAAATAATATATACAACTGCCATATCACATTAACCCTAGTTGTTTGTATTATCCATTGCTGATGACTTAGTGTCTTACTCTAAATATTATAGGTAGTCATTGAAAAAAAAAAATGAAAATTGTTATCAGTAATCAGTATCTTACCTACCAATATAGTTATTAACATTAATGCAATATCATCAATAAAATTGATCTGTATTAGCACGTTTTTTTTTTATACATTGATATAAGAAGAGGCCTCTTCATACACACTAGACTGGGTGTGGCCTAGAGGGTCAAGGACCAAATATGCTGCAAGCTAATCAACATTCCACTGAGGATCATATATGATAATATTCTTCCTAAAATACTATTGATGCTATCCAATGCCTAATAAATTAAACATTTATTTAATTGAACAGTAGTTTATATTAATTATTATTTATTACGTTTATCTAGGTAAATACTATTTATTTATGTTTAGTTAATATTTATGACTATTTATTATTAAATAATCACCTAAAATAATCATTTTAATATTAAGACACATGTAAATTGTTTTTAATAATTTACTAGATTTAAATTCAATAAAAATTAAAGTTGATATTTTGAACTCTAAAAAACTGATATTTTATGCCTAAGATTAGAATAAATATATAATAATATGTTAATATAAATACATAATGCCATGACTTAGGTATGAGTCATGGGCTCATATGTATAGAATTTTGTTCTATTAATTTTCTGTGATCCTGAGACCAAAAATATAATTACATTTTTTAATCAATAGTTTTTTAACGTTTTTGTAATTACACTTACAAATTTCATTGTTTTCATATTTTTGATAATATGTTTAACCGTTATATTATAAATTACAACATTGTTTGTTTCACAAAACGTTTCAATTAGGGTTATAATTGTTGTTTATAAGGTATCTAATTATTATTTTTACTCTCGCCTATTACGAATTCAGAATTACGATTTCAATCCCCCTACTTTTGTAATCATGGAAACTGAAAAGCACGCGTTGTTAGTTGTTACATAACATAAGATTATAATTTATTAATAATTTATATTATGTTAGAGAAAATCGTATTATTTCTTACATTTTTTGATTCTTACAGTTGAAGACAATTATTATGGTAGTTCAACTTATCTAATTATATTATTGTCGTGATATTTTTTACTGTTTATAGATTTCCATAAACAAATGGTTTTATCTTTCGTAGAAGTGTAATTTTTATTTGTAAAAATCAGAAAAAATACTTTTTAATAGGTACGCAGATAGTCTTTGCAGGAATTGATCTTATTATTATTAATAAGTAATGTCAATTTTTATTTTTTTTTTCATAATTCTACTTATATTATTTTGAACTATGTTTTAGTATAGACTATAGGTTTTATTCTACATTTACGATTTACCTAATTATAATGTTGGCATTGTTTGTTTTTTTAGAATTTTAAAATAAGTATTTTTAATTCTGCTATTAAATGCGAGAATTAATTATAAATCTAAAAATCTATGTTTACACTGAAAGTATAATTTATTTTATCGTACTACGTTTACATTTCCCCGTTATTATTTATATTTTATTATGAATTATGATTTAGGTATATATTTGTATAGTGCCGGTATCCTTTATTACCATTTCGTATTATATTTAACAACGGTATGTTTGTTTTCTCACGATGCATTCCATTCCGTTGAGTTTCCTAAATGTCTATCTGATGAGTTAACGATGCTAACTAATTAAATTTATTCGAATTCAACGGGAAAAAATATATTGAGTTTTAATAATGTTAGGAAATGTAATGGTTTAGTTTTCGAAGCTTGATAGTTGATTATATTCCTATAATATATAATTTAGGTACTAATGTACTATAGAGTTTGTCTCAGAGTATAGATTCATACGAGGAGCCATATATTTTCTGAATTTTATGATCATCATGGAAGTCTAATTTATTGTTATATTAATTATCTTATAGATAAGTGATAACAAACTTAAACGGCATTACCGTTTATAAAATCCATTTAAAATATTGTATTGAAAAGCGTTGGTCCATGGTCGTTATTATATTATTTTTATACGTTGACAATAAATTGAATCCTTTTACGTATTTACATTAACCTATATTACGACTGTAATATAAACATTATAAACATACATGTATGTATAATGTATATTTGTATTACATAACATTTAATAACTCAGTTTTCGCAAGAGTTATAATGCTTGTGTACATCCCATTAATATTTAACACTGACCTACGTAAATGAACCGGAATATAAATAATGCCTCCCTCTTAGTGGCTATGATAATACATATATATATGGCTTACTGGGCAGTTCTCCTTATGTTGATTTATACTAGCAAATACACAAATAAAATCATTTTCAATAAACTTGTTATTTGCTGTTATTGCACCTATGTGCTATAGCTATAGATACCCAATAATACTAAGTAGGAATGTAGGATGATAATGATTTTTCGACTAGAACAAAGTTTTAATTTATTCACGAATTGACAATTGTGTAAAATATAGGTGCGCATACTGTAATAATTGAATAACTATAAGTATTAAGTACTAGTAGTAGGTGGCGTCACGTACAGTTTGTAAAATATACATTTAGTCCACTATTATAATGTTCTAGTGCTGCAGCATTACGAGTACCTACTACCTACCAACACAAGTATCGCATATCGCATTGGCTGTAAAATTATTTTTTTTCAAATTGATTATTATATTGTAAGAGATGTTTTGTCGTTTGAGTTTATTTTTTATACACTCGCGGGTACCTTAGTTGTTGGTGCTGAATGGTGAATGCTTATACGTACGTTATAAGTCATAATAGATACTCTTTTTGTTTATTTAAAAACCGAACCCTGGCGTTAAAATTGCAACGTGATACCTATTTTATATGTTTAAACACGCGTATGTACATAATATTTATAGTAGGTGCCAGTGCATTACACGACGTCATAATATATAGATAGGTAGGTAACCTCCCGTTTGTCCGGTCGTGAACGTTGATATCGTATCTAATAGTATTAAATATTAGGTAACAAAAAAAATAAAAAATAAATTAACTTAATATTCTCGCGCCGTTCAATATTATATTAAAAACGTATCAGTAATATCGTAGAGTTACAGACGTTAATACGTTATTATTATATTGTGTTCGTCCTACCGCAATGTCTCGGACGTCCTCGTTTTCGTGGGTGGCGGGAATGAATAGAATGGGAATATACGCGATCACAATATTTTGTTGGATGGATTTCGTGCGGAGAAATGCTACCGTACCCGTACGGCATAATAATATTAACGGTCCAATTGCCAAATGACATCATTCGTCATGATGATGATGATATTGTATTATGTACTTAGTACTTATGTATTACCGTTTACCATACACGGTAGAGGGAAATACGATTTGTTACTCTAGCCAGCCGCACGGCCAAGAATATTTTAACACACGTGTATCAATAATGAATAATACTGATTCATTTAAGGCGTTCGTTAAAACTAGATATATTATGTTATTATGCCCGCTGTTTTAAAGCGAACCTCGAAAAGTAGTTGTACCTATTGTATGTTATTGAAGTTATCTCTTAGGTTCAATAAAAATAATAATCTTCGACAGAAAAAACAACGTATAACCGATTAATAACTGGATAAATATTTAAAACAATTTAAAATTAATAATTTCACTTTGAACACAACAGCTATAATATATTTGCCCCACTTAAGTAATCATTAAAACTTTATATTTAAATTTGTAGTGTTTATAACATTTATCATTATAAGTGGTTATTAATTGCATAATTGTTTATCCATTGTTGTATACATGTGACATGTGTGTAGTATGTTCTTTGGATAAAATTAACTTTATAATAATGCATGTAACTATTGATGGCTCCTATCAGTTTTAAGTACCCTGAATCATATGTTATTCAGATAATGCTTTAATTAAAACTATTATTGTGTCTAGGTAAACATCAGTAAAAATGTCACATCACAGTGATGACAATATGTTAATAGCAAGTAGTGATTCGTTCTGGGAACCTGGCAATCATAAACGCACCACTAAACGTATCGAAGATGGCTATCGGTTATGTAATGATCTTATTACTCTCATACAAGAACGATCAGATATCGAAAAAGCTTATTCCAAGAGTTTAAAAGGATGGTCCAAGAAATGGAATGAAATTATTGAAAAAGGTCCAGAATATGGAACGACAGAAGCAGCTTGGAAGGGTGTTCTAGTTGAAGCAGATAGACTATGTGATCTACACATAAGAGTGAAAGACGACTTGTGTAATGATATAATGCAACAAGTAAAGACGTGGCAAAAAGACAATTATCATAAGGTAAGCACATCAGTAAATTTTTAATGCTTTATACTCAATATTTTGTTTTTCTACTTGATGATATTAGTAATATTGACTTATACAAAAAAAAGGTGATTGTTCTATTTCATGCACTTTTACTAATTAAACTAATATTGTTTGCTTCAGACTGTTTTACACATAAAAGAACGAAAAGAAATGGAAGAATCATTTAAAAAAGCTCAAAAACCTTGGTGCAAACTGTTGACCAAGGTTAACAAAACAAAAAATGAGTACCATATTGCATGTAAGGCGGAGAAATCAGCATCAAATCAAGAACGAAATGCATCTGCTGATAGTTCCTTATCTATGGATCAAGTAAAATTATAACTATTGATAGCGCACTATTTTATTAGTTAAAGTATTTAATTAAAACTTATAACCTAACTTTATCATTGATTAGGTAAAAAAAATGCAAGATCGTGTAGCCAAATCGAAAGAAGAAGTGCAGAAAGCCAAAGAAAAGTATGAAATGGCTCTACAAGAACTAAATGCATACAATCCAAAATACATGGAAGATATGACAGTTGTATTTGACCGATGCCAAGAAACAGAAGCTAGAAGATTACAGTTTTTTAAAGACACGCTGTTTACAATACACAAGTGCCTAAATGTTTCTCAAGACCCAGTGTAAGATATTAAAAATATATTTATTTTGAATAAAAATCTTGATAGTTTGTTTTTATTTATTAGATTGCCCCAGATTTATGAAGAGTTTTATCATACTATCAATAATGCCGATCACGAGAAAGATTTACGGTGGTGGTCAAATAATCACGGTGTCAATATGGCCATGAATTGGCCCTTATTTGAGGTTTGTAAAGTTACACAATAATTTGTTTTATTGTTTCGTTATTTTAACTGTAGAAAGCCATTTTTGATTTATTTACTAGATGTATATATAATTTCTTTTTGGTTTTGCCTTGATTTAATTTTTAATAATAATTGTAGTTAAGTCAAAAAACTAATTTGTGTGCATGTGTGTTGTCGTGTTATTCTTCTATAGGATTATATAGAAGAGTTCCGGGATATATCCAAGGGAAAAATCAAAGAATCTATACCTGCTGGAACAATAACATTAATCAATCAACGATCAGTCGGCGAAGATTTGCATGTAAATGTTAGTGTGCATTTTTTACATTTTTAGTTAACTTATTACAATATGTTAGTTAGAAAGATTGTTATTAGTGTATGAGACTAATCTTATATTATTTAAATCTTTGTTAATACTATTAACTTACTAGTTTTTTTTTGTTATTATATTTGATTTATTCACATTATTTATTTGTAATATTTTTAGGATTTACATACAACTCATCCAAAGATAAATAGTAAAAAGCCAACTGTTGCGTTATCACGATCAAATGATAGTGCAGACGACCATAAACAATCAACAGACAAATCAAATGGAACAAAATCACATCCGATAACGTGAGTTACTAAAATAAAAAATAAATTTCAGTTAAGCAAAACAATTAATTTCTTTATAAATGACACCTAAATGTCGTGTCATTTAGATTCCTAATGAAGGGGCCGTGCACCGGACCTTACATACCTGTGTTAATCGGTAAGATCGATTACACATGTTCCATATTTCCTTTGTATTTAGAAATTCCTTTTAATTTGTAGTATCATTAGATACATTTGAAAAACCTAATAATTTATGTAATCGATACAATTATATTTTTGTTTGATTAGATATAATTGTCCTGACTATTCTTATTTATTTATTGATAACTATTTATTTTATATATTTTATAGCAATGGAGCTTCCAATAGCCAAACACCAGACTCCAACCCATTTGAGGAGGAGGAATGGGATGAGGAAGAAGGAGTTGGTCCCGATGGTGCGCTTGTGGACAACGGTGAGCCCGGTGTACCTGTAAAAGCACTCTATGATTATGAGGGTGCCGAAGCAGATGAGCTTAGTTTCAAACAAGGTAAAAATAAATGATTTTAAGAACATTATCAAAATAATCTAGTTATTATAAAAATCAAATTTAAATTTTAGGAGAGTTATTTGAAAAATTAGAAGATGAAGATGAACAAGGCTGGTGCAAGGGACGCAAGGATGGCCGAGTTGGATTATACCCTGCCAATTATGTAGAATCAGTATCATAAACAGATTGATTAGTTTTAAATATCAAATAGTATGTATAATATATTTAAAAAAGAAAACAATAATGACGTATATGGACTACTATGTATTGTCTGTTCCTCTGCCAAAAAAGATGTTGTGATCCAATTAATATTTTTGGAGTATGGTTGTTTTTAATTTAAAATGTTTGTTAATTTATATTTATTTAATGAAAAAAGTTTATTGTTATATTGAGGGAACAATTATTGGTAGATAGAAACAGATATTTTTATTTTAAACAATTTTTTTTCTTAATACTCCATTAATTTAAATGATAATTTATTTACTGGCATTATCTACTCTATCAATTATAATATATTAGAGAAATGTGTAGATAGTTACATATTTACTTTAACAGCATTTAATTAAAATCAGTTATTAATTATTATTATTATTATTATTATAATTATTATTATTATTTACACAAAGGAGTGATCAACGTGTGTTGAGTACCTTAAGTATGTTCCAAATCATGATTTTTTAGATCAAATCAAAATCTGAATCAATACAATGAATAACTTGAATATGACAAACAATTTTACTTGATACTTTTTAGTATAATGCATAAGGAACAATTGAACAATTGAAAATGTTTCATTATTTTATTATTGAGCCAGATATAACATGTAGTTTAAAACATTAGTAAATAATTAACTTGATTTTCAATTAAATTATTTATTTCCATTTTGTTATGTCACTAATTAAAATACAATAGTATCCATTACTACAATAATGGAGTAAGCTATTGTTATTTTCTGAATGGAAGTGTATTATTGGTAATAAATTGTTGTTAATTGTATTTTTTAAAGAAACATTTACTAATAATACTTATTAATTATTATTATACAAATATTAATTTGCCATTAGATTGTAAAAAAAAAAAATAAAAAATACTCTGTTAACTATTTAATATTTTTTTAGTTATGTTTTGTACATATAATATAATATAATATTATTAGCATTGGTTCATGTATGATCTATTTAATTCTAATTGATTAAATGTTGTTGCATGTGTAATGTAAAATTAATTAAATGATATACTAAAGATGATTTAAGAAAGTCTCAAGATCAAAGACAAAATGTAATAAAAATGAATACTGAAAAAAATTACTGGCATTCTAAACTTCATACTATTAGTCAACATTGCATGAATTGGTGTTGGTGACTCTGCCCTTCCAGCCGACGATCAGCAATCAAAACTGCTTATTTTAATTAACATTCACACCAAAACTGTGTTCCTATAGGTAAAGGTACTCAGAATTTTGTATTAAATAAATTTGTGGTATCAGCTGTAGGTATGTTAGGGTCACCAACTGCCAATTCGTTTGACACATTGACTCTACTCGTTGTCAATGATGAATATTTATAATAAAGAACATTTATTAGATTTTTAAAATGTGTTGTTAAAGATCATTAGGATCACATTTGGTCCTGGGTTCAATAATATTATGTACTAACATATTTGTTCAATCATGAATTTAAAAATTTGCTTCCCGATTGTTTAAAATAGAAATATTGTTTTTGCTATATTTTTCTTTTAATGAGAAGGTATCTTATATTTTGTAGTGCTATTCATATTTTATTTCATAATCAATAACTATTCAAACATTAAACAAAATTAATTTTGATTGCTTTTCTCATAGCAAACTTAAATATTGAATACTATTTGTTGATGTTCAAACTTTTCTAAACTAATGATTTTATTTTTAACATAATATGTACTAAATAATACATATCATTGATGGAATGTTACACACACAATAACAAAATATAAATCTGAGAATTTGCAAAAAGATATTTTTTGCATAAAAAATTGTAAATGATGTATATTTATTTATTTATTTATTTGAGTAAAGATAATATAGTATTACAGTATAATTTATCTTTCGATAATGTTTCTACACAGCTTAATTCATTAAATATTTTTAATATTATGTACCTATTCCATAAGTGTTTTTTTGGTACATTGGTTTAATTAATCTTGAACTTGTTTGATTGAATGACAACGATACATTATTAAAAACTGTTGTTTTACCCTTACATTAAGAAAAAAAAAATGAAATGTATACATTACTGGTATTTTATAATTTTTACTATGACCCATTAATTGTACATATGGAAAATTAAATAACTGCCAACAATTATTAAGAGGACTTTGTATCCACGTGTGGTATCTCACACACAACTAATATAGCAATTCTACGTACCGGATTCTCATGGGCGGATCCGGGATTGGAAATTTTTTCAGGCCGGGAAATATGAATCAAACTGGACCGCGGCTGCCCTTGAACCTCAAATATTTTCTTTTACTCCCCAAAAACAATGTTTTATTGGTTTTTAACGTGTCATACATTAAGATGTTTCTTAATTTAAAAATTCAAAATTTGTTTGGTCTTCTCTAAATTATTAAAATATTTAATAATTTAATAACTATGATAGTCTTGGGTTAATCAGATAATGTTAAGCTGTTCCGAACGTGAACTTGAACAAAATACATGTTACATTTTTCAATATTTACAGAAAATATCTTTATTATATTTCTCGTCTTAATATATCTTTATACTATGCTATCTTTACCATATAATAACACAATTTCATCCACAAATCACAATCATTAATTGGCTATTATAACTTATAGGCTATGATTTTTTATTATAATTTTAATATGTTTTTTTTCTTCCAATACATTTGTAATAATTGTTAGATGCCTATTGCATTAATATTTATTAAATTACATGTATTCACTATTATGATCTCATAACATTGTAATAATATTTCTATGCAAATTTTATAAGAAAAAACTTTTTCCCCCACTGCGGAGATTTCTGGATTGGCCTATTAATCTATCTTACTACAGTTTATTTATAGTTGATATTAGTGTCAAATTAACATATTATCAAATATGTAGTGGAAAAATTAAACTGTGCCTGAACGAAGAGTTTTCTTTCAAACAAGTTATATGAATTTGTAAAAATACTTACAGCTTATAAGTTTGAAATAAATATAATGTGAAATAAAACTCTTTGCTCGGGCATAGTTGATATTCTCTTCTACAAATTCATTCTAATATTAATAATAAATAAACTGTTGTAAGAATCTGATTTGTATATCATATTTTGCTAAGCTACACTCATTTAAAGGTGGGTATTAACTTAACTAGTGGGTAATTTTTCAATTACGTACTACAAAGTTTATTTATTGACTTAAATTTATTATTTGTCAATTATAAACTCCTAACTTAACAGTTTTGTGTCCGCTTAACTTAGCCTAATTATTTTCATAAACTTGCCAACTTTACAGGGCATCTACAATACCTGTGGTTACAATAATATTCTCTTAATGATAAAAAATAAAATTTCATGATTATCACAGGAAGTAGCATGGTATATTTTGCAATGTGTACTTAATTATCGGCCTAATTTAAATTTGAGATTCCCATTTTATTCCGAGGTCATAGGTAACTTGATTATGAATGAACGGGTGCAATGAAGTTCAATCAAAATGTAAACTAACTGTGACTTTTTTTATTATACAGGGTGTAACAGAAAGATATGACATATACATATACTGGAAATGTTCCTAAACAGTTCAAAACAAATCAAAATGTTTTGAAAATTTTTTCGTGTATAGAAATATTATATTATTATAATATTTGTAATGCAAATATAAATTACCAGTGAAAATTTCATGTATATACGTTCATTTGTTTTAGAGTTTAACCAAAAACCAAAATCGATTATGTCATATCTTTCTGTTACACCCTGTATATCCACAGTATATTTAGATTAGATAAAAATTATAATGAAAATTTCATAGCTATTATACACACGTATAAAGTTTACTCACTTAAATGATTGGTATTTTAATATTACACCAACAATTCAGTTCAGTGGCTTGTCGAATGTATTATTTTGGATATCCTCTTATCTTATTGTTTTAGGTATATATCTACATCTCACCAATTATTTCTTCATATTTTTAAAAATTGGTCAAAAAGTCTCTAATGATCAAACATTCTTTATCCGAGATTAGATAACATGGAAACGGTTATGTGTGGGCCGTTATGTCAAATACGACTCGTTTTAACAATTATTATCAATTAAATAAAATGTTCAATTTGCACAAACTTCTCTTATGTTGATGTTCTACTGTCCTCTATTATAATAAAAATATTGTAATTTAATCAGTTCTAAATTTTAATTTTCCAGTAGGTCAGGCATATAATATTGTACAAAAATAAATTTAGAGGGGTGAACATATTTCAAATAAATTAACAAATTATTCTTATGTACTCATGTATAAACATTTATTGAGATGAATGGGGAGGGGTGAACTTAAATCCACTCACTGTGCATGCCCAACATAGATTATAAAATTGAATAACTTGGCCTTTGAACCAGGGACTGGAACCTTACCGAAGAGAACTGGTTTTGAAACCGGAACCCTTTGAATATCGGGAACCAAAACCTCACCGAAACCCTTATTTTAAATAAATTTAAAAACCGGAACCGATACTTTTACTTGACAAATTTTTTTACTAAAAATCAAATCAGGTAACAATTTTTTTATTATTTAAGAACTGAAAAGAAACCGAAACCAAAATTTTAGTTTTACTGGCAACCAAATAAGAACCGGAACCGTAAAAATCATCAGGGTTCCAGTCCCTGCTATGAGCTCTGCATGTTATGCTGGTAATTTAAAAGCAGTGCTTGAATAAGCAAAAAATTACAATGCAAAAGTTTAAAAAAAACGTGTGTGCCTGAATATTTAAGTTTTATTGATTAGGATATAAATAGAAGGGGTATACATTAATATTTTTTTTAAAAGAAGAGTGAATCTGTAATTCTCAATTCGAGCACTGTTTATAATCTATTTTCATATTTTTAACTCTAGTCTCTAATACACAATAGTTGAAATTATGTGATAGTTTCCAAGCTATTTTTGAAATCAAAGTTCTGGTTTATATATTATACACATACAAATAACTTAAGGGCTTGGTCAACTTATAGAAGTTAATTTAATTCAAAATTCTAGTTTACCTCAAATTGATCTATCTTATTATATTATTATTACCTTATAGTACTAACCCTTTATAAACTGTTTTATAATTGCAAATCATTAAATGAGATATATTTAACATACATCTTAATTCATGCTTTGAAACAATACACTTTTAGAATAACTAAAGTACAAATTGTCATATTGGAATGTTTATTTTTAACTGGCCTATAGAAAATAACAGCTATATAATATATCATAAAATTATATTGGGATTCATTTTTCTCACCTCGTTAATTAAATGAAGAATTTCAATAAATTATCTTAATTAATACATTGTTTGGTTTTTTCTAGTTTACATTTTTGAATGAGTAAAATATTATATAAGGCACTTGAACCCTGTCAATGAAAATAGTAGGTATATAATATATATAGTAAATAATTACAAAACTTATATGAATAAATTACATCGTAATTGAGCATTTACTACAAAACATTTATATTGTAGTACATAAAAAAAAAATCACCGTATACAAAAACACATACCATAACAATTATACCGATAAAAAAGATCAATAATTTAATAGTAACCCCCTCAACAATGTTTTTTTTTAATTTATAAGAATGTATAAAACCAAATAACATAAATTCCCTAAATATGTGTTAGACAGACCAAAGGTAAAAATATGTTTCTTGCCATTGTTTCATGTATTCTAGGAAAGGCCGCATGAGTGGGCCAACTAACGGCACTGAGTTAACAAACCAGTGTAAGAATAAACGGATATGTTTTTCTGAATAGTTCTCAAAGAATGGTGATCTCACTATATACATGGCCAAATTTAGTGATCGTTTTGACAACACCAAACGTTGCTGAGGTGTGAGATTTTTAAAGGATTTTAATCGCTGCAAGCTAAAACATAAAACAAAAATAATTACAATTGAAACATTGTACTTGATGCAAATATTTGCAATTATTGTTCAGTTTACACAATTATTACCTAATGTATTCTATTGTTATGGAAATCAACCAAGGCTTCCATGATTTCTCTCCAAACACGCACATACTGCCCAAGTGAACAATTGGTTTCATTATGTACATTGTCTGAAATAATAAATAATAAAACGTTTAAAACCTTTACAGACTCTGAGCAAATGTTGAAGAGTATTTTTTAACTAGTTAATAGTTCATAAAAAAAAACAATCTTGATTATTGAAAGAAATAATTTGGTGGTTGAGAATATATTGAACAGTAAAAATTGCAGGGTATGAAAATGAGTATTATTAGGTATTCTGTACACTTGAGCTTTATCAAACTTAAAGTATGGCTTGATTTGCATCGTACATCCTAATTTATTTAAGTGTTACCCTAAACTAAGCTGTACTAAAAGAATTACCAAAGATGTTTGTAACCAATTTGGATATCTATTTTTGAAAATATCAAAATAATATTTTTTTTTTAATCAATAACATTATTTGTTTTATTTTATAATTATTAAAAGTTTATGCAAATTGTGAATATTTAAAGTATAAACAACAACAAAAACTAACAAACAACTACAAATTTCATGTAGTATGTACTTGTATATTTATTTAAATAACAAGGGTACACAGCACTTAATTATGTCTGAATATGTGATTATTATAATTTTTTAGTTTTCACTTTTGTCTACCAAGTTAATAATTATTATACACAAAATTAGTTTGAATGTTAATATTATTTCAGGTTTCTTTTATTATCATGGTGTAGGATAATGGTACGTTATTATTTTATATTGAATGTAGTCAGTGGTGTATTTATGGGGGTGACTGAAGGGGCTTTAATTTTAGAAAAGCTTGAGGCCTGTTAAAAATAAAATAAAATTCTTATACATTAATTAAGTTCAGTTAAGATATGTGTTAAGTTGCCTATGAAATATAATTATATTGTACCGTATGACAAATAGGTAGCTTATTTTTTGAGATTGACACTTGAAATTTGAAATTTGATAAAAAAAAAAGGAAAAAATTTAAATGAGAATGATGATAAAAAAATTACTACAAGTCACACATTGTAATTTTGCAAATGGAGTTTTATAAAATAATTTTTAACTTTCTATCATTTGTTTTTATTTAAATGCTTATTAAAGGCCCATTCAAGATGATCAAACAGTCTCCCCCAAGGACCTAATTGCACACAAGGACTTTGTGGATTTTATGTTTTTTCCAAAAATTAGTTCAATATATCATGTTACTTATAGAAAAATAAATTATAAAATATTCTTAGAAATCAGTTTTTGTGTCTTATGCAATGATTTATGATTGAATTCAAATTCAACACGTCATTACGCTCAACTACTCAATGACAAGGTACACTCGGCACCTATTATGCATTACAGCGAGATCTGCAGTTTCATTTATTACAATTTTACTATTTTATTTTTAATATTCTCAATATTTTTCATCATATTATATTATTATATTTCATTAAATTTTAACATGCGTGGAAATAAAATAACTTCAACAGGATCAGTTCAGTTGTTCCCAAACTTTTTTTAACACCCTTATTGAACTAATATTTTCCAATGGGGCCCATTCTTTTTTTCATAATATACTTGATTAATTTAAAATGTTTAAATACATTTTTAATATTGTCGTGTAACTTATTATAAGTTAATTGTACCTTTTGGGCTACAAATATAATTTTGAATTTATTTTATATAATTTTGCATGTTTTGGTGCATAATTTCCTACTTTTTAATGAATATTTTGAATTAAATTACCAGATTTTATTTTAGTCCATTATAATCACAGCCATAATACTAATTTTAACAAGCCCCCACAGAATACTGAAGTAGGTATAATGATTAAAAATTGTACAAGACAAAAGCCTCTCTCTGAAAACCGAATCCCTAGTCCTATACCAGACTATTATAATAATCATTGACAAATGTAATATAATAATCATGTAATGTGTATCGAACCTCTGCTACAATATGTCTGTCGCTGAGAGTTGTGCCAGGAATGCTGCCGTTGAGCCTGTCCACCCTCGGAGGAGCTTCCCACGTGCGCCGGTTCATCGGAGGAGCTGAAAACGCAAATGAAATACGGTTAAGTAATAAGAATATGAGAAATAATAATAGTTTAATTTTACAAAGCGTATATTGTTGTATTACCATGGTCCAGTTTGCGAAGGGTTCGTCCCGACGGTAACGTTATGACTCCATCAAGAGCATCGTTACATTTGAGACCCACAGATTTCCGATCCAAAGGCTGTATTGGGGGTGATTCGAGTATGTGGAGCTTGTGCACGTGCAACAGGTACAGACGGGCCATACATCTGTAAAATTAGTCGTCGCGATACAAACGTTAGTAAAACGTAGGTGTACAAAAAATTTTTTTAATTATTATTGTATTTATCATTTGATGTATATTTCTGTTCACATCATCATTACATATTCATTGTTAACTGTACATGTACCTACAACACAAATTGCAAAGACACAATATTTTGTTCCGACAGTGGCGTATTTACGGGGGGGGGGGGGTCCATGGTGCTCCTCCATAAATACCTATCTAAACATTTAATATATCTATTAATATATTCTGTAACGGAGCCCCTCACTTAAATGTGCTTGGAAAATGAGCTGGACTACTTCCATCAAAAATTCCTAAATACGCCACTGTAATAATAATAATATAGTTTAATTAGGAATTCAGGTATGAGGTATCTTGCCTAACTATTACTGTATCGTTTCAACGTTTCCATTGATATTTTTCACAATGAGACAATAAATAATAATGATACGCTGGTATAGCTGTACAAATTAATAATAGGCATTTGAATTTTGGGCTATCCGTTTTATTTTTCAGTGTGAACTGTGAGCCGAAATTCCCAAAACGGCGCTACTTGCCTTATGCGCACAGGCGCCCACGGTAAGTCAGAAAACTATTTCGGGCAGGATGGGGGTATTTTGAAATGATAACACACATAATAATATAAATCACAAATTTAAAGTGATAATAATGTTATAAAAATAATAGTATATCATATTTTGTAACTTTTTTTTTGTTGGAGGGGGGGGGTAGTTTGAACCACAGAAATTCTCTATTATAATTTATAAGGGCTTGCAGCTCAGTGATTTTGCATGTTCAGTCGTACACTACTTTAGTGAGATCAATTGCTAATGGCGATAATAATAAATAAAGGATTAGCCAATGCTGGTTAAGTTTAGTGAAGCTCGATTTCGAAAGGAGAGAGTTATGATTTAAAAATAGCAAATCACAGCTGCTGATATCGTAACAACCAACAAAATTATGGTAGAGAACATTTAACACGTATTAATCAATAACATACTGCGAACTAAAAGACGACAAATTATAATTATAGGTATAAAGTAGGGACCTACCTAATATCAGGTCAAATTTTAAACCATCGTCGAAATTTCTATGACATTTTTAAATTAAATAGGCTAAGCGGTAAGACGTATTTTTATAATATGCAGTATGTACATAAATTGAACAATATGTAAAATATGTTAGGCGTGAGTGTATGAGGGAATATATTATCGAGTAGATACGAATATTCATATTTGGTAGGTACATCAGTGATCAGTTGATATAGTATATTATAATATATATTGCATACCTAGTGGTTAGTGGTAGTTATGAATAACTGAGGATCTTTCAAAAATAATTTATTTTGAAAGTTTGAAACACAAATATGACATAATAATATTATATAATAACCACCTTACCGCCCCCACGTGGCCACGTCACGTGTCGATCACAATCATAACAGTGTTGTTTTGGGTTACAAACATTAATATACCAATCTCATTCGGAACGCTCTGTACACAATTTATGCGCGCTGACAACGTTCTAGATAAGACGATACAATTTAATCAACCGGTTACAAACCTACAAGTACCTACCAACAAGTTCCAATCAGAACAGTTATGAATAATACTATTAACACCGTGAATACTGAATTAAGATTAATATTTAATAGGCATTAGGTAAGTTATCGAATTGAAATTGGTGGTGTCCAAACTCTGGTAACAATCTATTACATACTCAATATTCATACATTGTTTTAATAAACTAAATCAAACAATTTTAAAACTAAAAAAATTTAACATTGATCTGTACAGGACATTAAAATCGTAAGAAAATAGGACATTGATCAAACTAAACACAACGCAGTGAAAACGAACAGTAACCAGTCTCCACTTGGTAGAAAACAAACCATACAGCCTACTAAAAACACTAAAAATGGCATCTTTTTTAAAGTGGTACAGAGTTTACAGCCACACATATCCAATACGGACCAATCTCGTTCAAACAGGTATGTAACCAGTCTAGAACTGTGTATAAATATAATTATTATGCTCATTACATATTTAAGGTCTATTGTTTGGTCTCGGTGATTTAATGGCTCAAAGTGCAGTAGAAAAGCGCAAACCTGATGAAATCGATTGGTTACGTACAGTTCGCTATGCATCTATTGGGTGTGCAGTTGGACCTACACTAACTATGTGGTACAAAACGTTGGACAGATTAGGAACTAAAAATACAATTCCAATAGTAGCGAAAAAAATATTAGTCGACCAAATGATTGCATCGCCAATTATTAATGGAGCTGTAATGATTATGAGTAGAGTGTTCAGTGGAGACAAATGGCCACAAATACAAAATAAACTAGAAGACAACTATGTAAAAGTCATGCTCACTAGTTACTTGGTAAATACGTTCAATAGAATTTTTATTTTTATATTACCTAATATGACCTACAATTTTTTTTATAGATTTGGCCAGCTGTACAGACATTTAATTTCACTATTGTTCCACAACAATACAGGGTCTTAACAGTACAAATAGTGTCATTAGCTTGGAATACATACCTTTCATTTATGAGTGTTGGTGGTGAAAAATCAAAACAATCATAATATTAAAAGATATATACCAATGCACCTAGGGGTGTATAATATTGTTTATAAACTTAAATTACTAAGTTTATATTTTATGTCATTTGTTATTTGAAATGTATATTTTTAATATGAATCTAATATTATCTTAAATGGAAAACTATGAAGTGGAAGTTGTAATCTAATCATCTATGTTATTAATAAAATGAATTCTTTAGTATTTTTTGTGTACAAGTTCAATTGAATTATGAATGTACAAATGTGAAATAATTTCAATATAAACTATACAGCTAGGAACTCTATGCCAACAGAAAACCTTAACAATCATATAACTATAATTAATCGTAGACCTTGTTTCATGACCTATGTCGAAGAGGTGAATAAAAAAGAAAGCTTAATAATTGAATAATTACTTTACGGTCTGCAAAAGTACAATAATAATCCATCGTCCTTTGGTGCCCCATAATTTTTTAGCAGATATTTCTACAAATACTTCAACATAATCCACCGTGGTAATGAAACGCTTGATATTTTCGGAGCTAAATATTTTTTTCTTTCCTTTATTGTCGACTGTTACAGAGTTAGGTTTGGCAGTACTTAGTATAATTTGATCATTAAATAACATCATGAAGTTGGACATGGAATATATGAGCTCAGATAGTAATGTCGAGTTGTTGATTCGACCTGCAAATACGCGCTAATCTATAGTGAATAATTGGATTATATTATTTATAATTAAAATACCAGCTAAAAAGTATGATATCCACTTTATTGAAGCTTCTAGATCTGTTGTTCGTTCTGGATGTGCACTGACCCAGTTCACGTAATGTTTATATAGTACTCTTAACGTAGGAATAGATAAATTTTCCATTTTATTTTGTCTTAACGTTCAGCAGCCGATAATACTGGCGAAAAATGTAATCAGCAAAAACGAAAGAATGTAATTTACGGTACGAATTGTGTATTGTACATTTTTTGAATATATTTGGTTGACGTTGTTGATTATATATGACCACAGAATAGATATTACGTGCATGAAGTTAGCAATAGACCCAACAACTGATAAGAGAATTCTGATAACGCCAATGGCCGATTGGTACGATAAGTTGCCTATTGTGTGCCCCTAACTCAAATTTCACACATTAATTAAATAATACACAAGATCGAAATAGGTATAGTTTATAAAATAAATATTAATATTAAACATATAATAAATCATGTTAAAGTTAACAGTGTTAAATTTTTTAGAGGTGAGTAAATAAGTATAAAAAAAATAATGATTATTCATCTTACAAATAATGGTTTATTAGTATTTTATTCAACTTACAAACCTAGGTACTTAATATAAATGTACCTATGGCCTATACTAAAATAAAGTTAGTTCTTTTTATTATGAAAATATTAAATGTTATGTTTCATTGTAAGTTATAAGTGTAATTTCCAGCTGTATACAATAATTTTGGATTTATACCAAGATTACAAATCTTTAATTATTAGTTTCAATGTTCCATTAAAATGTAATGAATTTCATTGCATTGTAAAAATTATGTCGTGTGTCTTCAAATGTAATATTGTAGGTACTCAATATAATATATTATATATATATATATATATATATTATATATTATATATATAAATATATAATATATAATATACCATATTATGGTGATTAAATGTAATGTTTTTTATAGTCTTGTAACTTGTAAGTTAAACAAAATATGTAATAATATTGTCTAAATAAGACAAATAATATTGGTATATTCTTAAAATTAGTCTTTCTTCATCTATTGAAACAGAACATTGAGTGTATTTTTTTAATTCTAACAACTTTTAACAACGACTGCAATATGTAGTTAATGTCCATGTTACACATCTAATCTTAATTAAAAAATTATATAAATAGGGTAAAATATTAATCAAGTTAGTAATAAATGTGTTAACTTATAAAATATCAAAAAATATGACTAAAGAGTAATATTCTTTGCATCTATCATTTAAGTATTCAAATATTGTAAGTACTTATTTTTACATTTATTCAAAAATATAAGTTCATGACAGACAATATTATTATAATACATCAATTCAATACTGCAAATCGTAATACACTAGATATACATATACTCTGGATTTTGTATTAGGAAATGTATGACGTATAACAAAGTCCAAGAACTTTAGCTTATAATTAATGTTTTATTTTTGTTGTTTATCTTTAACAAAGATGGCCATATGGCACTAAGATTGCTACCTATGAAAATTCCAGCAATCTGTTATAGTCATTTTTCACACTCTTCGTCAGTGAATGTAAGTACCCATATTCCTAGCTAGAGAACCTTGATATATCAAGGCTCTCTATTATATTTATTATTCAATTATGTATGACAGTGGCGTGCACAGCATTTTCTAATGGTTGGAGAGGGGATATTTTTCAAAATAATATGAAATTTCTATCATAAAACAAAGATCGATTCAGTCCATTTTCTATAATATTTTGATACAGCTAGTATATGATGTCATCTAAGCAAGTAATAATGTAGAGGTTATTTCATAAATGTATATTATCATAGAATGGTTAATGATTATTTTTTTAAGTCCACAGAATCCCCCCCCCCATGAGAACGCCTCTGATGTACCTACTATGTCGTTCTTCTTACCTATACATATTTCATTATTAGGTATATGTTTTAGTATTTTATTTTTAAAGTATATCTTATTTTTTTTATTTACAATTACCATATACCTTCGTAAATGGAAAACTGATTTTAATATACGTCTATATATTTAAATTGTATAGGTACATTTGCAATTACGTTGACGATTTTTTTTATATTTGTTTCATTAGAGTCGTGATAACTACAAGAATCTTTGGTTTAGACATTTGTTATGTGCCCCCCCCCCCATAGATAATATATACATGGATAGGACATCCTTATACCTAATATACACAGTATACTTTGAGCAAAGATTAAACTACCTAGTAACCATGATGGTTCAGTAACAGTAGATATACTAGTTATACGTTAAAGACAATTTTTATCAAGCCTTATCTGCTCATTTTTTAATTAAATAATTAGTTTCTATATTATGGTTGTTTTTTTATTGTTATTTTTATTGACCATCGTTATAATTAGTAATTACCAATTATTTTGTCAGTGTTTTTAATTTATTGTGAAATGTAATAACTAAAATAATATATAAATGTTTGTATTGTTGTTTCACTTATCATGGTTTGTTGTAATACCACACTTTAATTATAATATAACTACTTCGATAACTAGCATGCTCTTCGATCACACTTAAATACATGGTATGTCCCATCCACGTATATATTATCCATGTACCTCCCACTGATGACGAATTCTGCGCACGCCTATGTGGACACTATATAAAGTTTATAATATAAACGAACTCAACGAATACACATTCGCAGCCTGAACATACTTTCCCGCCCCTGACATGAAATAGATGGACTTTCATAAAAACCATGGTGCTTAAAATATGATCTAACTTGAATTTATCAAGTTCAAAAACTACCTATACTAAGGAAGATACTTTTACTATAAATGCACAATATACAAATAATAGTCGCTAAAAAATTAATAATCGATCATGACATTTCTAAGGATAAATACTAATGTAGATATTATTATTTATTAAGAATAACCAATATAGTAATATTATAATTGTATTTAATAATTTTACAACCGTCAACAACCGAATAATTCAAAAATATACAAAGGTTAATGTTAATAACCTACCTCTCTAATAATCTCTGTAGATAGAGCTAAAATTATAAAATAAAAAAAGGTAGTACTTTTTAGTTTTTTCATTTGTGATAATATTTATGATGATAAAATAGCTGACCAGTTTATCCGGCGCAACGTATAGTCAATTTAGCTACATTGCGGCGTAGATCAACATAATATTAATAGGTATAATAATAAATTATGTGTAGGTACTATGCTATTATTAACCGTGTCTATAAGATTAATAGCTTCAAATTGTAAAATTAAGTTAGAATTTGTATATAAACAGAGTATTTCTATTTACTTCCTGAACAAATTTTCATAATATACCAGATACCTATTATAGACCTAAAACATAATATGCAGTTATAACTTAGTTGTGACACACACAAGGGCAATGCAATCTATTACTTATTTTGAGATACTTTTATTTTTTTTGACCCATTGCATGATCATACTAAAAAAGTCGCTCTGCTGTAGGTTACAAGTGGGTGGTATTAAATTTGAATTCAATGATACAATATCATCGTATAAGAAAAACGATTCTGAGCGGAGACGGTATGTCAGTCTAGGTATAAGACATACTATATACTTATCTATGGTATTAAAAAAAAATTTTCCTATAATAGGTACCTATACTTAATTCCAAATTGATCATATCACAATATCCATTAGGTACTTATAACGCGTTTTACATCAACAACAAACCTTGATACTATCATAGATATATAATAGTATACTTTAGAAGTTTTAATATTTTTCTAATGTCATTGTAACAATATAGTAGGAACCTTGTATTACATTTTTAAGTATTTTTACTCAACAAATAATGTTTTATTGACATTCATATAAAAAAAAACTAATAAAATTGGAAACTCTAAATGCCCCTAAACAGTTCAAACCAAATCAAAATATTTTGAAAATTTTATCATGTGTAGAAAATGGAAATATAAACAACCAGTGAAAATTTCATGTATCTACGGTAATTTGTTTTAAAGTTTGACCAAAAACCAAAGTCGATTTTGTAAAAAATCAATTTTGCGTAAAAATTCCCGTTTTTCCTTAATTTTGGAAAGTTACTGTGAACTTTTAATTTTATCCTCCCCAATGCACTAATAATATTCACTTTACCCAAAAAAAAATAATAATAATATAAAAACACACATCATTGAAAAATCAATACATTCTGCATTGTTCCACTCAGAATCTAAAACACACATCATTGTAAAATTTATCTCTTCCCTCAAAACCTAAGAAATGGGCATCGAAAAAATTTGTATTTTAGGTCAGTATACCAATTTTATTGCTATACTTTATTTATGTTTATGTATATTAGGTAGGTATATTATAAATGTACAAACTATTATTGACCTTCATTTAATTAAAATTTAAAAAAATCGAATAAATCGTTTTTATTAAATTTGAAAAAAGCTATACATTTATATATTACTGTGAATAAATTTTAATTAGACAATGAAATATACTATTATACTGTAATATGAAATAATATTTCAATAGTGATTTATTTAATTGTAATTATGTATTTGTATTTTGTGTATATTAAAATATATATTATATATTATTAATGTTCATGATCATTATATATTTATATCCCAATAAAAATATTGTTTTATGTGATATCGAATAAAATTAATATAACCCTGAAAATTATAGAGCGTGTAGCGCAATTGGTCTGTAGACCCAGAAAAGACTGATCGAAATTGGTGAACTCCCTAAAAAATAACTAACGTATTATAATACAAATATAATTTAAAAATAATTAAATCAATGGTATGATATGCTTTAAGTCCCGAACCCTGGTTACGGCCAGTATACTGAATAGGCTTTAGATTTTTAATAATAAATCGCAATGTATAGTACCTACCTATTTATATGTGGAAGTTGGGTTTTTATTGAATAATTTCATGTCATTCTGCTATCCACTGAAACTATTTTAACTATATACGCCTATATAATAATAGTCGATTTTACATAGACCTCAATAGACGTATAATAACCACTCATCGTTACGACGATATGCCAAAGTTCAAGCAAAAAAAACGATTCTTTTATGGCGTGTTGGTTTTTAATAGGCGTTTAGGTATACACAAATCTATATATTGTCTGG